ACTGTATAATACTATCCTCTTTGTAAACTGTTTTCACATATTAACTTTGTGCTTTTGGTGGGGGGATTGCTTTTGGTTTTGTTTTTTCCTTTGTTTGTTTGTTTGTTTTGAGATAGGGGGTCTTACCATGTAACCCATACTTGCCTGGAGCTCACTATGAAGACCAGGCTGACCCTTGAACTCACAGAGGTCTGCCTGCTTCTGCCTCTCAAGTCCTGGGATTAAAGGCATGTGCCACCAAGGCTGGCCTCATATATTAACTTTGATAAAAGTTAATTAGTCAATGACTAGAAATAGTAACTTAGTAATTCATAGAAAATGCCTTGTCTGTTTAAGTGGACTTAATTCTGAATATGAGAATGCTATACCATATTCTTTATCTCTGTTGTGAACATATAGATTTATAAGCCTTCTTTTTAAAAAATATTTATTTTTATTTTATGTGTATGAGTATTTTGCCTGCATGTATGTAAATGCACCCATAATGTACAATGCCCACGGATGTTAGAAGGCGGCATCGGATCCCCTGGAACTGCAGTTACCGATGGTTTTTAGCCACCATGCAGATGCTGGGAACTGAACCCAGGTCCACTGCAAGAGAAGCTAGCGCTCTTAATCCCTGAACCATCTCTTCAGCACCCTTAACCTTTTTCTTTTTTCTTCCATAGGTTGACGAAAAAACTGTAGGAGAACCTGGTTGGCTTTATGGTAGTTTTCAAGGAAAGTTTGGCTGGTTTCCGTGCAACTATGTAGAAAAAATGCCATCAAGTGAAAAAGCTTTGTCTCCTAAGAAGGCCTTACTTCCTCCTACAGTATCTTTATCTGCTACCTCAACTTCTTTGGAGTAAGTTTTGAGCTAACAGTGGAGTTTGTATGGCTCTGTCAGTGTGCGAATACTAATACAGAGTTGTGTCAGTCTTATCTTTGGTCGAATTTTTCATCTGGACTGGGTTCTCCCAGCAGTACCTTTTGTTCCAAGTTTAATACTGAAATTCAGTAAATGAAAACATAGGTCAATAGTGTGTTCATGAATTCATTTTTTCCACAAATCATGTTTAAACATAATATTTACTATACATGTGGGTAAATTGGAGTACTTCATTAAGGTCTAAACAACAAGAATACTTATATTAAAGCTTTAAATTTGCAGACCACTTTCTTCAAATCAACCAGCATCAGCAACTGATTATCAAAATGTATCTTTCTCAAACCTAACTGTTAATACATCATGGCAGAAAAAATCAGCTTTTACTCGCACTGTGTCCCCTGGATCTATATCACCTATCCATGGACAGGTATGTTGTCTGTAGTTTTGGGGTGCTTTATTCTTTGAGTTTACCCCACATTCATATGAAATAGCATGAAAATTATATACAAAGACATCTGTTATTCACTCATTTATTAAGCAGAGCTTGTATTATTCATTTGCTGTTCTTATCATTCATGAGTGATGTAAAGTTGAAGGATGATTATGTGGGATTGGATTTAGGGAGGAGAGCTGTTTTTTCTTCAATAAGCCATCTGTCTGGGAACCTTGATATCTTTTATATATATTTAGATTTATTAAAACTATTAAAAAGAAATGGCAGATTTCATCACAATAAAGTCAAAATACAGATTTCATCTTCACTTAGAAATGTTTCTTGCATGATTATAAGTTCCAGCTTTTTATTGTGTGCTAGGAATTTAAGGGAAAATAAGAAAAATGTCTAAGTAGTTAAGTAGTTCATAATTTCTTAAAAATTTTATTCATTTATTTTTATTTTATGTATATGAGTGTTATGCCTGCATGTGAGTGCACCTGTATCATGCAATGCCCTCAGAGGTCAGAAGAGGGTGTTGGATCCCCCGGAACTGGAGTCATAGACGGTTGTTAGCTACCATGTGGGTGCTGGCATTCAAACCCAGGTCCTCTGCAAGAGCAGCCAATGCTCTTAATTGCTAAGCCATCTCTCTAGCCCCAAGTAATTTGTAATTTAATAAAGAACTCATATATACAAATAACTGTAAAGTGTGAGAAATATTGTAACAAATATATTTGAAAAATTCTGAGAGTTTACAGAAGAGAGAGCATCTTATCCAATCTGAGAATTAGAGGATGCTTCATGAAGGGAAGGTATTTGACTTGGACCTACAAGATAAGCGAAACTTCACCAAACCTAGAAGAATTACTCTAGTGAAAGGCCATCTGAGGAAGGTCACTAATGAACATTAATGAGAGGTGTTTCCTATGAGAATTCTTTATACTATAGCTGCATACAACTCTGTGGCTAGGGAGATGGCTCAGTGGATAAAAGCACTTAGTGTGCGAGCCCTATAATCTGTGTTTGAATCTCTAGGAACCACATAGCTGGATGCAGTAACAGGTATCTGTAATCCTAGTACTCACTCCTATGACAAGATGGGAGGCAGACACAGGAGAGTTGTCCAGAAGCCCATGAACCAGCAAGTCTGGAGGGTATGCAGTGCACCAGCAAAAACAAGATAGACCCTGTCTCAAGGTGGAAAGGCGAGGACCAGCTGCCAAATTTGTCCTTTGACTTCCATATGCATGCCATGTGTGTGCGTGCACACACACACACACACACACACACACACCTGCACTTATACACACAGACCACATACATACAAATAAGTGAATATATAAATAATCCAAGCAGTAATGTAGAGGGCAGATTGGCAGAAGGAAAGGAAAGAGAACAGTTAACAGAGAATATTACAGTAGCTGAGTAACAAGAGGCGATAGTGTGAATCAGTTCGATATGCATGCAGTTTCCATGCATAAAAATGCATAGAAAAAGACACTGATTTAGGACTAGGAATTGTTATAAAAATAACCTGTTATTGGCCGAGTGTGGTGGTGCACACCTTTAATCCCAGGACTCAGGAGGCAGAGGCAGGCAGAGCTCTGTGAGTTCAAGACCAGCCTGGTATAGTCAGTTCCAGGCCAGCTGGAGCTACAGGGAGACCCTGTCTCAAAAAGACCAAAAATAAATACATAAATAAATTTTCAGGGGCTAGAGAGATGGCTCGGTGGTTAAGGGCATTCGTGTGCAGTTGTAAAGGTAGAAGGAAAGGAGAGCAGATCCCAGCACTCATATAACAAGTTAGGTGTCCTGAAAATGCCTGTAACTCCAGTTCAAAGAGATTCTACACCTTCTTCTGGCCTCTGTGCATAGTCATATGTGTGTGCACACAGGCATATGCGTACATGACGCACACCCAGATGGATGGATGGATGGATAGATGATTGATAGATAGATAGATAGATAGATAGATAGATAGATAGATAGATAGATATTTAAAAAATAACTTTGTACTCTCCATCTTGAACAAATGAAAGAACAATGGTATCATTCTTAGTCTACAATACAGAAAGAGGAGTTTGTGTCTCTAAGATGACTGCATCCAGGCATACTAAGATACAGCCCGGTGGGGACATCTAGTAGGCATTTTTATGTATATGCCTTGAACTGAGAAGACAAAGTTACTCCAAAAATATAGATTTGAAAAGTCATAAGCATAAATAGGATTATTTGGGAAAGTCATGTTGAAACTATAAATGAAGAGGGCTGGACAAAAGATGATCCATCAACTCAAAACTTCAGAAATTATAAGAATTTTAGTTATGTCTGCACTGTTCAAAGATCAAAGAGAATAAGGGTTTTGGAAGCTTTTTGCCATAATAGCATTTTAATAACCTTGTCTGAAAAATATTCAGTAGTGTGATGGTACAGCACCCAAATTAGAGATTGCAGAGTGGCTTTGGAAGGTAGGTTGAAGGTGACTCTTAAGCCTTTAGCTGCAGAAAGTGATGAAGAGAAGGAAGAGACATGATGAGAGAATGAGGACCACCAAGGGACTCCATGTGGTGCAGCACTTTTAGAAATGAGAAGGCATAATGGAGTGCAGTGTAAGCGAAGAGCCTAACTCTGTTAGAAGAAAAGAATTCCCTTTCTGTAAGAGTGGAGGGAAAGAAAGAAGAATATGAAGAAGCTAAAGGAGAAAAGCAAGGAAGACGCTGAGCTTGACCACATCTCCATTCCTAGTGGAAAAAACTGAATTAACAGCAGTTGCAAGTCATGGGAAGCTGGAGGAGAGAAAAGATTCGCAGTGATGGGTTTATGACTGCTTCCTTGAGTCCTCACTACCTCAGAATCAGCGATGTTTCCTTGAATGGTAGGATATTCAAGAAGGTTACTCACATGGTTGCACGTCATGTGTAGTTTGAAGTTAGTAGATTAAGTTACCATCACACCAAGTTGATATATTCTATGTTACATACTAGAAATTAAAAATCATGATGGCCATGTTCTGTTTTTAAATTTTGGTGACTTTGTATTCCTAGGGACAGGTCGTAGAGAACCTGAAAGCACAGGCCCTTTGCTCCTGGACTGCGAAGAAAGATAACCACTTGAACTTCTCAAAACATGATGTTATTACTGTCTTGGAGCAGCAAGAAAATTGGTGGTTTGGGGAGGTTCATGGAGGAAGAGGATGGTTCCCAAAATCTTATGTCAAGATCATTCCTGGGAGTGAAGTAAAGCGGGAAGAGTAAGCATCTCTGTGTGTTCACAGGAGGTGTGAATGTTGGTGTCTTCACTAATAAGTCAACCACACGTGCTCAGTTTGAATACAAGAGAGTGATTCCTAGCATGAAATGACTTCAGATGTTTTAAAATCTTTTGTTCTAGCCATTTGAAATTTGTAAATTTTTCAAAATACTGTACTTAATTTTTAGATCTTTTGCTTTTTTTGACTATTAGTTTGAAAAATCACTTTTCATTTGGAGCATTTTTCCATTGTTTACTATAAATTTCACTATTTAAATGATTTTTGACTGAGATTTTGCCCATTACCAGATTGAAGCATTCTGGGCCTGCAGGGCTCTTTAGACATAATGTCACTGTTGCTCATAGCACATGTCTTTTAGTTATTGGCTCTTTTTTTTTTTTTCCGGTCTTTTTGAGACAGGGTCTCCCTGTAGTAAGGCTGACCTGGAACTCACTCTGTAGTCCAGGCTGATCTTGAACTTACAGAGATCTGCCTACCTCTGCCTCTGGAGTGCTGGGATTAAAGGCATGTGCTACCATGCCCAGCAAGTTATTGACTTTTTTAAAAACTCATATCCCTTAATAAATCTTGAACCACATGAGCTTTTTTTTTTATGCCTACTGTAGTATTAATACATAGTAGCTGCTGAAGCATCTTCACTCAGTGAATGAGGAAAGGAGTGAATAAATGAACAAATGAATGAACTTTCAAATGGACAAAAACTAGTTTCCAGTCTGCAGGGATGTCGAGTTGTCAAATGTCTTTAATACGGGCAAATGTATACAGTGCTATGATTAGCTGTGAGTAACTGTGTCTTGTGTTTTCATGGAAGGTGATTAAAATAGAAAGCAGTCTAACATATAAGGAAAAGGTCCTGGTCTTGGAAAAATCTAGAAGCTAAAGTTCTAGTTCTGCTATTTTTGCCAACTTATTTAGTTTTCAGTTTTCAGTTTTGATTGGGTAAAAACATTAAACTGAATAAACTATAAGAATCTTTTCAGTGCTGAGTTTCCACTCACACATATTTAGTTCAGATGTTAACTGAAATTAACTTCTCAGATTGACCCAGAATTTTGGAAGTATGAAATTAAAAAGTCAAAATATATACCTGACATCTGCATGCTAGACCCTTTATAGGAATTATTTAATCTATATATTTCACAGTGAAGAAAACTTTTAAAATAGATTAAATTTAAATGTTTTGGGGGCCTGTTTTTTCTTTTATATTTCATTTATTATTTTTATTTTATGTGTATGAGTATATTGCCTGCACGTATGTGAGTGCAATGCCGCGGAGGTCAGAAGAGGGCTTTGGATTCCTCTGGAAGTGGATGTAGACGCCATGTGGATGCTGGGAATCGAACCTGGGTCCTCTGCAAGAACAGTCAGTGCACTTAACTGCTGAGCCAGCTCTCCAGCCCCCTGGGGGGCGGGGGCTGTTTTTTCTAACATTCCATTCAGTTCCTGATCTTTTCTAAGAGATGAGTCATGTAGCTTGAAAGCCTGCAGTAGAGCTGGGTTTGGTGGTCACACCTGTGAATTCAGCAACTCAGGTTGAGGCAGGAGAATTGCTTGAGTCTACAAATTCAAAACCTGCCTGCGCAACATAGAAGACTGTCTCAAAATAAGCAAAGCACAAACAATAACAACCAAAAATCTGTATCAATGGAGAAATCAATGTTAAATAAGGCAGACCTTTCAGTAGTGGCTATGAGATTCAGTTCTTCTGTGGACTTGAAAACCACCTCACTCTATAATTCAGTCACAGGTCCTGGGGAGTCATCTGCATCCCTCAGTTGTCAAGTTTTTTTGGTTTTGGGGGTTTTTTTGTTTGTTTGTTTGAAACAGGGTCTCCTTGTAGCCCCAGCTGGCCTAGAACTCACTATGTAGATCAGGCTGGCCTTAAACTCACTTGCCTGCCTGTGCCTCCCAAGTGCTGAAATTAAAGGCATGTATTACCATGCCAGGTGATAGGTACCAAGTTCTTAAACAGTAGTCTTCCAGATTTTTTATTATTTAAATTTTTATTTTAATTTTTTAAAATTTTATTTTATTGAACTTTTTAAAACAGTATCCTAGATTAACATGGAAATTACTTTACCTGTTGTAAGATTTTTTAAAGTATTATTTTTATATTTTAAGATGTAAAACCCTCTGAATAAATAATAGCCTTCATATATTTGTTTACCTGTAAACCAAGTCAGTCCCCTGTATATGCTTTATCAAAAGAAAAAAAAAACATTTGAAAAACTATGTCCTATTGAAATTATTTTAAAATGTAATAATTTATAATTAGTTCTTTTTTAATATTTTATTATCTTTATTATATGCATATGAGTGTATTGACTGCATGTATGTAAGTGCACATGTGTTGTGCAATGCCCATGACAGAAAAGGGTGTTGGGTTCCCCTGAAACTGGAATTACAGATGGTTGTTAGCCACCATGTGGGTGCTAGGATTCAAATCCAGGTCCTATGCAAGAACAGCCAGTGCCCTTAACCACTAAACCATCTCTTCAGCTCCCAATTAGACAGTTCTTAATCTAGAAAGATTTTATCTATAAGTATTCCTATCTGTGTGCAGAGACAGTCTTTAGATTAATTTGAGAAAGCCTGAAAAGAATGTACTTCTAACATCCACTGTGTTCTTCAAATCACCTTTTCACCTTTCCTGGGGTTTTGTTTGTTTTTGTCTTTGTGTGTGTATGTCTTACTTGTGTTTTTATTTGGTAGACCAGAAGCTTTGTATGCAGCTGTAAATAAGAAAACTACCTCCACAGCCTATCCAGTTGGAGAAGGTAAGCTTTTAACAATTTGTAAGTTAAATGAGAAGTAGTTTAGTTATTATTTGACCATATAGTGTTCTTTTCCCTGTTTCTGTTTCTTTGATGTTTTTTGTTTTTTGTTTTTATTTTTACACCCACTTCCCAGGTAGCACCCTCCCATAGCCTCCCTCCCCCGACTAGAGCCCTTATACTCTGATATCCCTGCTACTGTCTGCTGTGTTGTCGGCACCCCCAGCCATTCCCCACTACTTGCCCTTCTGGTGAATCTAGTCAGCCTATCTAGAGGTCTTTGTTTTAGGAGGGTCAGCTGTTCCTCATCTAGCGGTAATCAGTTGTCAATATTCCTTTGGATAAGATTGGGGTCTGCTGTTCATTTTCCCAGTTCTATGCTGGGTTTCTATCTGGGAATCCCTTTGTCCATCCTGGCCAACAACTCAAAAGAAGGTATTGCCTGTCTGGCATTGTTTAAGCAAACCTGTCCTTGTTTATTTCACATGAATATTAAGAAAATATATGATTGAAAATACTTGGCACATTTAGAGGGTCAGTGTTATAGAAATTCAGCATAGATGCTCTTGGCCTTCAGAGAAGCTTCTTACTGTAGCAGGCAATAGGTAGTTAATATAGACTCTTAACTGGGTGAAGTGCCTACAGTAAGGGGAGATGGAGTGCTCATCCCCAAATAGGTCATCTATATCACTCCCTTCAAGGCTGAGGGAACATCATGGAGGAAGGGGAAAAAGAATGGAAGAGCCAGAGGATGGGGAGGTGTGTTGCTAAAGGACAGCTCCTGGACATGACTCACTGCAGCTGTGCTTAATAGCATAAGACCTATACAAGATGGGCCTGTCAACAGTTCATCAAGGAAGGGGGAAAGGCTATGAAGCTCTACCCCTCGCTGAGGGACAACTTAAAGTTAGTGGTGGCTGAGGGAAGGAATTTCACTTTCTTCAGTCCTATAGCCACTGCTAAGATGCCCAAACTCCAGTACCCATGCTCATGCAAGCAACCCTAATTGAACTCAGTGAGTCTCACACACAGAAAAGATGTAAAAGTAGGAGGGGAACTTGTTCGGAAGAAAAAGAATTTCAGTGGAAGAAGGAGGGGAATTAGAGTAATGGGGGGGTGGATGAAATGACTAAAATTCGATATATATGTATATATGTATGTATATGAAACTGTGAAAGAACAAAAAAGAAATTCAGTTTAGACTGGCTCAATAAATAAGAGTATAAGTAAAAAGTGTTGTAGCATAGGGCTGGAGAGATGTCTCAGCAGTTAAGAACCCTGTCTGTTCTTGCAGAAGACCCGGGTTTGAATCCCAGCACCCTCATGGCAGCTAACAACTGTCTGTAACTCCAGTTCCAGGGGATCCAACAGCCTCTTCTGTCCTCTGAGGGCATTGCACAACACAAGTGCACTTATTTACATGCAGGCAATACATGCATACACATAAAATAAAAATAATAAAATACTTTTTAAAAGTGTTGTAGCAGTTATATATAGATGTTTAGGAGGTAAGGAAATTCAGTACATTTAGAAGTTTATAAAATGAATTGTATTGTAATATACCATAGAAATTATTCAGTAATATTTTAAATCAAGATGCTCTTTATCATAAATATTGCAAATAATTTTTTCTATAGCTCTTTGGGTTATTTGGGTAATAAAGGTATTTTGATTTTGTTAATGTGATGAAAAGTGGAAGCTTGTTCACGCTAACTTTTTTTACAGTAGTTGCATAGTTATAAACTAAGCATATGCCCATTGTAAACTTAATTGAGTAGTTGAAGTAGATTGTGTTTTACTCATAAAATCATTTTAATCGTAAATTAAATAATTTTCTGTGTATCTCCTGTGTTGAAGATTCTTAATGCCTCAAATGTTCAAGAATAAATGGAATATAATCTCCTAAGTGCTCACAGTAAATAGAGAGGATGAACCTCCAATTGCCATAGCTTCTGTAAGGACTGAACACAAACAACTTAGTTTTGAGTAGGATCTGTACAGGTCCAGAGGTAGTGGTGTTGCAGCATCTTAAACAATGAGCACGATCTCATATGGGTCAAAGGGAGGAAAAGGGCTTCTCACAAGGAAGAGAATGAGCCAAGGCATGACACAAAGCTTAGGAAACAAGGTCACCAGAGAGGCCAGAACCATAGCTGTTAATGGAATGGGTATGGTGAGAAGAGCCCAGGAAAGCAGCAGGTATATTTGGGACGTGACCTTACTGTGATTTACTTAAGCCTTGTAATGACTTTCAGTTGTATCAAATCAGCTATGTAGAGTGATTCTGGGAATGTGAATAGTAAGTAGGTTGAAAACTGTGTTTTTGATCATCTCTAGCTCATAATCAAAGGTCAGATTGTATGCTGACAAATATGAGTAAAACCAGAAAAGAAATAAAAAGACCCAGTTGCTGTTTCTTTGAAGTAGTAGTAACCCTGGGAACAATGAAGACAATATAAGGATTTAGACATATACCTTGAGGCCATTCATTAGCATGATTATTGAGCATCTGCTTGGAGCCAAGGACTATGCTAGGAGCAGGATCATTGTGGTGCAACTTGGATATTGAGTGTTTGCATAACTGTATAAAAAAGGAAGAACAAAGAATTTAGCACTCATGCTTTATATTCAATATATTAAGGCTAAATGTATTTGGTTTAAAAGGTTAAAAAGATTATTTTCATTTTGACTCCATTATCTGCTCTACTCATTAAGCCTCAGTTCTATTATTAGAGATACTGGCATGTTTGTAGCTTGGGGTAATTCTTTGTGATTAAAAAATGATTGGTTCTACTTGTTACTGCAGAGTCCACTGTCCCTTGCAGGGTTCTCAATAAGCTTTTCTTTCTTTAAAAAAAAGGAAATAACAAGGCAATTGAAAAAAATTAAAATATCATGGTAAAGCTTGTTAATCTTCAACTAAACAATTGGTAAATCATTATCTCTACTCCATTTTCTACAGTATTCACAGCTTGTTATAAGTTTCCGTTAAGACACAAGGCCTTTCATGGTAAACTTCAACATCTTAGGGATTAACCTACTTTCTTTTTTACATCTGTAGTCTTTGTTCCCTACAGAATATATTGCACTTTATCCATACTCAAGTGTAGAGCCTGGAGATTTGACTTTCACAGGAGGTGAAGAAATATTGGTGACTCAGAAAGATGGAGAATGGTGGACAGGAAGCATTGGAGATAGAACTGGAATTTTCCCATCAAACTATGTCAAACCAAAAGATCAAGAGGTATAGTCATTTGTATTAACAACAAAATTATTCTATTGTTACTAAGATTCATACTTAAGGGCTGAGAAATGGCTAAGTGGTTAAGAACTCTGGCTGCTCTTGCAGAGGACCCAGGTTTGATTCCCATCACCCACATAGCAGCTAACAACCATCCATAACTCCAGTTCTAGGGGACTCTAACGCCCACTCCTGATTTCTTGGGCATTGCATAACATGGGCGCACTTACACACATGCAGAGAATACACTCATGCACATAAAATAAAAATAAGCCAGGCATGGTGTCGCACAACTTAAATCCCAGCACTTGGGAGGCAGAGGCAGGGGGATTTCAAGGTCAGCCTCATCTACACAGTGAGTTCCAAGCCAACTGGAGCTACAGGGAGACCCTGTCTCAAAAAGATCAAAAAAAAAAAATAATAATAATAATAAATTAATTTTAAAAATTCATACTTAAAACAGAGATTTATGGTTTTGGTCAAGCTGCTTTCATTACAAGGAAACCGCTCAGGGCTGGAGAGATGGCTCAGCGGTTAAGGACACTGGCTGTTCTTGCAGAAGACCTGGGTTCGAATCCCAGCACCTACATGGCAGCTAACAACTGTCCATAACTCCAGTTCCAGGGAATCTGACAACCTCTTCTGTCCTCCACGGGCACTGCATGACACACAGGTGCACTTTCCTATATGCAGGCAATACACGTATATACATAAAATAAAAATAGTTAAATAAAAATAAAATATTTTTAAAAATAAAAAATTGAAAATTGAAAAAAAAAAAGGAGACTGCTCAAAGCAGCTCCAGTAACACACAGGTTTTATTGTAGGGTCCAGTTAGAGAGATAAGGGGAACAAGGCTTCATAAGTTAATGAGAACAAGAACCATAGACAGGGCTGAGACTCAACGGTAACTGACCCCAGGGACTGGTTTCAGATTCAGCAGAACTTACAAAGACCATCTTGAAGGATTCTGTGTGTCTTTGAGGCTCTGACATTAGCTTAATGTGTCCCACACTCTGAAGCTCCTGCTGCTTCTCATTCTGTCGTCATTCTGGTCTAATGTAGACATTTTCAAGACTATTACATTAAAAAAATTATAGAGGACTAGAGGCCCCCAAAAGAGGTTTTAAAATAGGTGAATGTATTTATTCAGTTTAAATAATTAAATTTGTTATATGATAACAAAAATTTTGTGAAAAATAACTAATTTTTTTAAGGAAATACTCAATGAGAAGAGTGGCATTTTTATTTTTGCAACTCTCTTTAATGGCTAGCTTAATTGAAAGTAGCCACTGTCCCATATCATCTCTGTGTTCAATCGGGTTTTTCAGTTTTGGTTGCTGTTTTTGTTTTTGGTGGGGGAATGCATGGGGTTTTACATAGCTCAAGCTGTCTTCAAACTTGCTACAGAGCCTCAGCTGGCCTTGAATTCCTGATCCTCCTGCATATAAGACTTCTCAAGGGATGGGATTATTGTGTGTATGATACCATGCCCAGCCTCAGTCTGGGTATGATCTTTTGGTTATAATATGTGAAGAAAATTTAACCTCATGCCAATATGGGGAAAAAAGAAATGGGTTGTTTTGTTTTGTTTTTGTTTATTGGGGGGTGTTTTGGTGAGGGGGTTGTTTTGTTTTGTTTTGTTTTTGATACAAGGTCTCCCTGTAGCCCTAGCTGGCCTAGAACTTGCTATGGCTAGGCTGACCTCAGTCTTACCGAGATCTACTTGCCTTTGCCTCCTTTATATTTGTAGATGTCTATTGATAGCCTGATTCTACTACAACAAAATTTGATAAATAATGAAGTGTTATAGGTTAGTTTCAACACTAGTAAATTGAAGTCTTATCAGTGAATATTGTCTGCTTTTATACTAAAATTCACTAGTCTGTTTTGCATATTGAATAGATCTTTTAGCCTTGTGAACTATATTAACATCATTCACTGCTGTTTAGAAATACTGACACACTAAGATATTCAAATATTCCCTGTAGTGGCACATTTTATTATTTAATATCAAAGCAATCACATATCTAAGTATCACTACTCATCAGGAAGGTCTAGCAGGCATGTCTAACCTGTGGCCTATGTACCACATGTGACCTAGTGTAGCTATGAATGAGGCTTAATACATGTGTAGATGACAGTGTCATGTTGCACTGTCAAAAGATTGGCTATCCCTGGTCTAGGGAAACTGTCAAACTAACCTGTGGTTGATACAAGTCTTCAAAAATTTTGACTTTCCGTTAAAAACTTGAATTTTATCATTGGCAACAAATCCTGCCGGCTACTTTCCTTGCAATGACAGGCATACTTAATTCATTTTTGAAAAAATTTGCAAAACAATTCTAGATGTCTTTCAGTTCTCTGAAGTAAAAATGTTCTGTGAAGGCATTTAATCACAGAAGTACCTTTTCCATGAGACAACTATCAGTCTTTGGTATGTAGTAGAGATGCTATAGGCACACTCCTGATTAGTCACACAGAAATTTTTTTTAAGCATACTCAGCAGAATGTAGTGCTACATTCCTGCAATTCTAGCATTTAGGAGACAGAGGCAGAAATATGAGGAGTTCAGCATCTTCTTTGGCTGCATAGTAAGTTTAAGGCCAGCCTGGGCTGCATGAGACTCTGTCTCAAAAAATTGAAAAAAAAGTATACTCAGCCAGGCATGGTGGCATACGCCTTTAACCCCAGCACTTGGGAAGCAGAGGCAGGTGAATCTCTGTGAGTTCAAGGCCGGCCTGGTCTACATAATGAGTTCCAAGCCAGCTGGGGCTACAGGGAGACCCTCTCTCAAAAAGACCAAAAAAAGTGTACTCGAGTAAAAGTTAATGAAATTTCTGTTGTATTCTCAAGGACATTCTGGTTTCATTTTACTGTGAGTGCCCAGCAGTGGAGAATGCTCTTAATATGACTTGGTGCTGCTAAGGCATTGGTGGTTTACCCACCATTGTAAATGTCAACACATCGAAAGACAAACAGAATCTTGGTATTATTATGAAAGGACCACTTCCAAGGATCTGTGAACCCCTCACTGAGAACCAATAATGTAGTAGAATCAGGCAATGGGGGTTGATATTTGCCTCTACCACTGTGAGGCCAGGTGACCTTCAACAAGTTGCTTTGCCTATCTTTCGGTACCTCATTTTTCTTCTCTGATTGATTATAATGTTATAAAAACTAAAAAGGCCGGCCTGGTCTACATAATGAGTTCCAAGCCAGCTGGGGCTACAGGGAGACCCTCTCTCAAAAAGACCAAAAAAAGTGTACTCGAGTAAAAGTTAATGAAATTTCTGTTGTATTCTCAAGGACATTCTGGTTTCATTTTACTGTGAGTGCCCAGCAGTGGAGAATGCTCTTAATATGACTTGGTGCTGCTAAGGCATTGGTGGTTTACCCACCATTGTAAATGTCAACACATCGAAAGACAAACAGAATCTTGGTATTATTATGAAAGGACCACTTCCAAGGATCTGTGAACCCCTCACTGAGAACCAATAATGTAGTAGAATCAGGCAATGGGGGTTGATATTTGCCTCTACCACTGTGAGGCCAGGTGACCTTCAACAAGTTGTTTTGCCTATCTTTCGGTACCTCATTTTTCTTCTCTGATTGATTATAATGTTATAAAAACTAAATAAATATATGTAAACATGTAGAGCAGCACCTGTTCAGCAATACTCAAAAATACTAGTTTATGACACCCATCAATCCTGCATCATGCCTTCACTACAGCTGCGTATAATAGAAAAGAGAATACTTATAATTCCTCCCCTTTTATTCAAATTCCTGAAAACAGGAAATATGAGTTGCCAATTTATCATTTGAAGTCAACCAGAAGTCATAATTGCTACCCAAGGTATGAATTTTTTGTTTTGTTTTGTTTTTTGAGACAGGGCCTCCTTGTAGCCCCAGCTAGCCTGGAACTCTCTATATAGACCAGGCTGGCCTCTCGGTGAGATTCGCCTACTTCTGTTGCTCAAGTACTGGGAGTAAAGACATGTACCACCATGCCTAAGAAACTGAACTTTTTATTATCAAATCCGATTCAATCATTTTAAAGAGAACATGGTGATAAATTAGTTAATATTGCCTCCTATTCAGCAAGAGCTGTAGATGAGCCAGGGGATAGGAAGGTGGATTCTAAAAAGAGATGGGGGGAGTTGAATATGATCAAAATACATTGTATGAAATTCTTTAAAAATATTCTTAATGAAGAAAATGATAAAAGTAGTATTTTTTTCCTTATAGAATTTTGGGAATGCTAGCAAATCTGGAACAGCAAACAAAAAACCTGGTATGTATAATAGTAACCTTGAAAAATTATTAAAATGTTGGCTCCATTGTAGTCTTGAACTTACAGTTCTGTTTTTCTTCTTTTCAGAGATTGCTCAAGTCACTTCAGCATATGTTGCCTCTGGTGCTGAACAGCTTAGCCTTGCACCAGGGCAGTTAATATTAATCCTAAAGAAAAATGCAAGTGGGTGGTGGCAAGGAGAGTTACAGGTAATGTTCTTTTTCAGGTAATAATGCCTGCTCATAAAAAAGACAAAAATCGTTAAAATTTCTAAATCATCCATAATCATACCACTAGAGGTAATCATTCTACATTTTAGTATATTGTATTTCCCTCTAATCTTTTGCCTCTTTTTAACACAGTTGATATTATAAATAATAATTTAAAGAATTTTCTCTAACAGCATGATTTATCCCTTAGTAAAGCATAGGTCATTTTCTTAAAGGAAAGTACAGCATCATCTCTGCCTAGGACACCCCTGCTTGTGCTGTGCCCTCCTAGAGAAAGACCTGGTCCTGGCCATGTACTAAAAAGATACTGCCCACTGTCTTGTGTTTTGAAACAGCAGTGCAAGGAAACAGTTCAAACACAGATGAGCCTAATTTTTTCCTAAAATGTTAACACATAGTTGTTGAATGTTTTATAGAGAAAAAAATATTCTATCACTTCTAAAATTGCCTTACTTACTAAAACTATCTTTGTAGAGTTAAAAGATGATGAGAGAAATAGCTGTATTTTTATATAAGACTGATATACGATGATAATGTACAGGAATGGTAGCCATACTTCATTCTTGCATTTTAGCCTTTGGATTCCTAAAGAACAGAAGATATTCAAATTTATATGTTCTTGAATAAGCCCCTAAATTTCTATCTTCTGACTTACTTTGAACCAACTAAATTGGAAACATGACTCTCCAGAAATTCTTTTATGATTTCCCATTTATTAACAATGTTCTAAGGTGTACTTTCAGTGAAGCATACCCTTAACAGGAAACTTGAACTTGCAGAGAAAACTCTGGAAACATCTTTTTAGATAAATATTATTTGCATGAATATCCAGAGACTCCCTAAGCCTGAAAGACCTCCAGATGGAGACTTCTACAGGTGGTACTTTGAGCCACACTTTGAGATACTTGTTGTAATGAGTCTTCCAGTTGTTTAATATTGCCCTAAAAGGCCAAGGCTGAGTTCAGGCGCCCTCTATCTAGTCCCCAGGACTACTCTCAAATTTAGTAATTCATTGGGGCTGGAGAGATGGCTCAGTGGTTAAGACCACTGGCTATTCTTGCAGAGGACCTAGGTTTGGTTCCCAACACCCACATGGCAGCTAACAACCACCTGTAACTCCAGTTCCAGGGGATCTGACACCTTCTTCTTACTTCCATGGGCATTGCACAACATGGGTGCATTTACATACATTTAGGCAATAAACTCATACTCATTAAATAAAAATAATAAAATATTTTCTTAATGTAATTCACTAGGATTCATGGAGTTCACTGAAAGCTGTTATACTCACTATTATTGCAAAGAGGTACAGGTTAAAATCAGCCACTGTAAGAGATGCATGGGATAGATACAGAATTGCAAAATGGGAACTTGTAGTTATCCTCTTCCAGCAGAGCTATGGACAGCATTAACTCTTCTGGAAACAATTTGTGACAATACACCTGGAGTACTGCCAATCAGAATTTATTTTTTTATGTGCATGAGTGTTTTGCCTGCATGTATGTAAGTACACTCATGCATACAATGCCCACAGAGGCCAGAAGAGGACTTTGATCCCCTGGAACTGGAGTTATGGATGGTTGTTAGCCACCATGTGGGTGCTGGGAACCAAACTTGGGTCCTCTGCAAGAACATTCAGTGCTCTTAACCACTAAGCCATCTCTCCAGCCCCCTCTTGGGATGGTTGATTGCTCATATGATGAAGCCAGTCTCCAGCCCTTTCATCAGAGCATAAACTAATACTGCATGACCCAGAGCACCAACCATAAATCACATTGTTAGATTTGGCATGGCCCAAGCCCCCAGGTAAACTAAGACACTTATTTATTATTTTTATGTGTATTTTATTTTTATGAGTGTATTACCTACATGCATTTAAGTGCACCCATATCGTGCAATGCCCACAGAGGTCAGAAGACAGTGTCAGATCCCCTGGAACTGGAATTATAAGTGGTTGTTAGCTATGATGTGGGTGCTGGGAACCGAACCCAGGTCCTCTGCAAAAACAGCTAGTGCTCTTAACTGCTTAGCCAGTACTCTCTCTAGCCCTCAATTATTGCTTTTTAATATTTTACTTATTATTTATTATTTTTATTTTTTTATGTGTATGAGTATATTGCCTGCATGTGTGTAAGTGTACTAGTGTCATTCAGTGCCCGCAGGAGTCAGAAGAGGGCATTGAATGCTCTGAAGTTGGAGTTATGGATGGTTATTAGCTATCATCTAGGTGCTGGGAATTGAACCCGGGTCGCCTGTAAGAACAGCTAGTGCCCTTAACTGCTGAGCCATCTCTCCAGCTCCCTCAATGATTATTGGGTGTTTTTTGTTTGTTTGGTTGGTTTGGTTTGGTTTGGTCTTTTTGAGACAAGGTCTCCCTGTAGCCCCAGCTAACCTGGAACTCACTATGTAGACCAGGCCTTGAACTCATAGAGATCTGCCTGCCTCTGCCTCCCAAGTGCTGGGATTAAAGGCATGCACCACCACGCCAGGCTTAATCCAACATTTTAATCATACATTTCTTTTGCTAATTTTACAGGCCAGGGGGAAAAAGCGACAAAAGGGATGGTTTCCTGCCAGTCATGTAAAACTTCTGGGCCCAAGTAGTGAAAGAACCACACCCGCCTTTCATGCTGGTATGTGAGTGGGCTAACTTGTATTCCACCTTGGAGAACTTTGTTAAAGACAGAAACCTCTTAAATTAGCTAACTCTTTCAAAGATTTGAGAATTTGCCTTCTCCTTACCTCTGCCTCAAAGCAGTGTGACACTGAGAACTTCCTTGCTGAAAAGTTCTGTTGTAGGAACAGCCAGCTTCTCACTGATACTTGAAACACTTCACTCCTCGAAGTTTTTCATTCTGAAATTGCTGTTCCATCACACTTAAAGTGCAATGGTTCCCTTGGACTTTTAAGTGGAGTTGCTTATTTCTTTCTTGTTTTTATAAAATAAAATGGGGAAGAAGAATGGGAGAGAACAGATCAACTAAATTTTTAGCCTAGTTTTAGTATTTACTACTAATTTAGGTTCTAAGGACGGTATTGATCGTTGTAGGAGTAATTAATTTATCATTTTGGGGTTCTTTTGATAGTATGTCAGGTGATCGCTATGTACGACTACATGGCAAACAATGAGGATGAGCTAAGTTTCTCCAAGGGACAACTGATTAATGTTACGAATAAAGATGATCCTGACTGGTGGCAAGGAGAAATCAATGGGGTGACTGGTCTCTTTCCTTCAAACTACGTTAAGATGACAACAGACTCAGATCCAAGTCAACAGTGTGAGTAATAACCAAGTTCTTTATCTCTTTTCTGCTGTGAAAACTTCAGTTGCATTTATTACTATTGTAGATCAGTCACAGCAAATGTTATTAATGTCTCAACTAAGAAAGAACAAAAGGAAACAGTTTACAAGATCAAAATTTATGCTGCTTTATTTTAAATACTTTCTGCTAGCTTCTGACCTTAGTTATAGATTTTATTTTAAAAAAATACGTATACTTAGTTTCTCCCGTGGACTCTTTCCTGGCTGTCTGTCCTCAGCTTCCCTTCACCATCATGCCCCTTTTCAGCACCCCAGATTCTTTTCAATGTAATAAAAAGTAGCTGGAACTGTGATTTCTCTACTCAAAATTACCCTTTTTGTGTGTACTTGCCATTGATTTTGCAACCTTCTCATTTATTCCAAACATATTTACATACCATCCAGGATGGAGAAAATTAAATAACCCACTTAAAATGTTTGCAAAACTCTCACTTAGTGGTTCTTTAGAGAGCTACCTCATGCCACAAAAGATATATGAAGCAAGATTAGTTTCACAACTTTCAGAACAGTGGTCCAGAAAGTATAAAGTTTGGTTTATACAAGATTATCTCTTACTATTTCCATTTTTTATAGTTAATAAGAAACACAGCAGTAATAGCAAATTAGGGAGTAAACAGAACTTCAGAATAACTTTTTACGTCTTTTAAATGACTGTCACCCTTTCTCACTCTTTTTTTGTTTTATATCAAAGATGGTTCATGATTTGGAGTATTACTTTAGTGAAATTATTGAAAGCAACCTTCTATTTTCAACTTGCTGAGAACATAGTAAACTAGTAACTAAACCTGAGCTACATTATACAGCAGTTGCCAGGATTATGAATTTACTTTATACTTTATCTCTAATTTTATGCATTATTTTCATGTTAAAGCTTCTAAAGATAGTTTCAATCCTAAGTAAAGACTCCCTTTTAGATATATCAACTTCTAGTTTGGAAATAGGAGGAGCAACTGAGTATTCCCAGAAGTGTCTTAGGGTCTCAGAAGTGGTAAAGAAAGTTAAAACAACTTGGATTGCCAAATGAGTGACCATTTTAAGCTCTACTGATGGTTTTGCAAGTAACAGTGATTAATTAGAAATCAGCTGAGTTGGAATTACTGGTGGTTGGAAGGTCTTTGACTAGTGATCCCTGACAGCATTCCAGAATGTCAGTACATTTGACTTTTATAGCATAGTGGTATAAAATGATAGTTTTAAAAAATAATTTTTTGGGAGGGCTGGAGAGATGGCTCAGCGGCTAAGAGCACTGACTGCTCTTGCAGAGGACCCGGGTTTGATTCTGAGCACCCACATGCAGCTATTAACCATCCTTAACTCCAGTTCCAGGGGAATACGAAGCCCTCTTCTGACCTCCACAGAATTGCATGACACGGGTGCATTCACATACATGCAGTCAATACACTTGTACACATAAAATAAAAATAATAAAATATATTTTAAAAAAATAATAATTTTAGTTTTTCCATGTTTTTCAGTGGCAGAGTATTTTTTTTTCACTTCATCTAACAAGTATACATAAAAAGATAAAAACTTCTGGGAGCTGGGCGTGGTAACACACGCCTTAATCCCAGCACTCAGGCAGAGGCAGGCAGATCTCTGTGAGTTTGAGACCAGTCTGGTCTACATAGTGAGTTCCAGGCCAGCTAGGGCTATAGGGAGACCCTGTCTCAAAAAGACCAAAAAAAAGCTGTTCTAGGCCTAGGGAGATGGCTTAGTGAGTGAGTAAAGCACTTGCCACGCAAACTTGAGGACCTGAGTTCAAATTTCTGGAACACAAATAAAAACTGACTACAGTAGCATGCGGCTATAATCCCGATGCTCCTACCATGAGAGGTGGAGGCAGGAGAATCCTTGGAATCTTATAGGCCAGGTAGCCTGGAGTACACACAACAGCTTCAAACAATAAAAAACCCTGCTTCAAAAAAGGTGAAAAGGGTCTGGCAAAATGACTCATGGAGTAAATGCGCTTGCCATCAAGTCTTACAACCTGAAGTTGATTCCTGGAATCCACATGGTGGAAGGAGAGAACCAACTTCCCCAAGTTGTCCTCTGACCTCCATGTGTGTGAGTGTATGTATACAACACACACACACACACACACACACCACAAAACAACTGAATAAGAGGACCATGCCCCAGACCTTCCCTTTCTTCTACCAGTTTGCAGAGTCCTATCAAGTCCTTCTCTGGGGATAATTTGAAGATCACTACTCTAGGACTAAAGAAATAGCTCAGTTAGCAAAGTACTTACCTGAATTCCATCCCCAGAAACCATATACAAACACTGATGTGATGGCATGCACATGTAGTCCCAGTACTGGGGTGGCAAAGACAGGAAAATCCCTATTTCTCAGTGGTCAGTCAGCCTAGCACACTAGACAAGTTCTAAGCCAGTGAGAGACCCAGTTCTCTACAACAAAGAAAACAAAGACGGGTGACAGCTGAGGAAATACACACACACACACACACACACACACACACACACACACACACACAAAAGAGAGAGAAGGAGCGAGGGAAGAAGAAAAGAAGGAAAAAGGAAAGGTGGAAGAAGGAAAGGGGAAAGGAAAAGCAAATGTATTCTAGAGAAATCTACTTCAAATATAACAACCTAGGAAAGTAATCTAAGCCTAATTACAATTTTGGGGGTGGGGGTAGGGAGAACTAAAGACATAGTCTCATGGGGCCCAGGTTGGCTTCACAGTTGTTATATAGCTGAGGAACACCTTGATCCCCTGATCCTCCTGCTTCCACCTTGTGAATGCTGAGATTACACGCCTTTGCCACAATGCCCAGCTATAATTGAACTCTTTTGTGGTTTTGGTAGGGAGGTAATACTGGGGATTGATTGAACTTAGGGCCTCATGCAGTCTAGGTATGTGCTCTACACTGAGCTATGTCCCCAATTTCTAATTGGTTTTTAAAAATATTGTTTTTTTATTTATTTATTTATTTATTTTATCTTTTTGAGACAGGGTCTCCCTGTAACCCCAGCTGTCCTGGAACTCACTATGTAGACCAGGCTGGCCTTGAACTCACAGAGACCTGCCTGCCTCTGCCTCCTGAGTGCTAGGATTAAAGGTGTGTACCACCATGCCCGGCTTATTTTTTTATGTGTATGAGTGTATTGCCTGCATGTAAGTGCACCCATGTCATGCAATACCCATGGAGATCAGAAGAGGGCATCAGATCCCCTGGAACTGGAGCTACAGATGGTTGTTAGCCATCATGTAGGTGCTGTTTGGAATCAAACCCAGATCCTCTGCAAGAGCAGCCAATGCTCTTAACTGCTGAGCCATTTCTCCAGCCCCCACCCCCATTTCTAATTCTTAAAAGAAACATAATAGTTGGTTGTTAGCAAATGTTTGACTTACAAATTATGCAGAAAGCATGAATTAATTATCTAAGAACACATTTATGGCAAATGGCACATATTACTTTTGGCAAGCCAGGCATGGTGCCCTCCTGGAATCACAGCATTCAGGAGGATCATAAGTTGGATGCCAGCCTGGGCTACATAGCAAGACCCTATCTCGAGAAAGTGCAAATTAATTTTGGCCAAAGAATGATTTGTCTGTTAGTGTAATGTGACTTGAACTAGACGAGCCTAAACTTGCCTATAGATAGGGCCTCATGTGACTTGTACTATCCAAATGAACTTTCTACAGTGAAGAAAAAGAGTCTAAATATGTGCCATACTAGAGTGATCACTAGCCATGCATAGCTTTTGAGCATTTGAAGTCTGGTTAATATGAATAAGGCACCAAATTTTTCACTTAATTTTAAGGTAGGTAACCATTGTGTCTAGTGGTGATTGTGTCAGATAGCACCACTCTAGAAGAAAACTAGTTTCATGCCGTCCCTGAAGTAATATAAGGAAAACATAGTACCTCAGCATAGAAATAAGAGGAAATGTCATTCATTAATGATCCACACTATTTTAAAGGAAAATCATTCTCATTTGTTTCAGATTTTACTTTTTATGGTGTTTTTGAATTTTGTGTTCAATCAAGAAATTATTCATTTCACAACTATTCTTTGAGTGTCCAGCACGTACTTATAGGCATTGGGAATCCAAACATGAAATGACAGTTCTTGCTCCAGAGTTGAGCAGAGGACACACACTCAGCATGACATTATACCTCAGTGAATATTATACAAGTAGTTACTGGGGAAAGATCCTGAAACTCTGTGGGAAAACAAGGCATGTCCTTGCAGAGGCCTTCCCAGCAGGTGCTTGAGCTGGACCCAGAAGAGGAGTTACAGTTTGCTAGAAAGGCAGACATGGGTGAGAAGAGGTACCAGTTATTTTCTTGATTGTTTTACCTATTGAGAGCTGAGAAAGTAGAACATTCAAGGACTCATTTCAAAATATCTTAGTTTCAAAGCGCTCTTTGTTGTAAAATTATTCTCAGCCAGGCGTGGTGGCACACACCTTTAGTCCCTGCGCTCGGGAGGCAGAGGCAGGTGGATCTCTGTGAGTTCAAGGCCAGCCTGGTCTACATAGTGAGTTCCAGGCCAGCTGGGGCTACAGGAGACCCTGTCTCAAAAAGATAAAAAAAA